TGGCACCAACGAATATTTCTCTGTGTGTGGTGGCCTTTTTTTGATTGTGTCTACCCTTAGTTAATAATCCCAAAATGTACTAGGATCAGTAGCAACCAGGAAAGTTATCTGTTTAGACACAAGATCCAGTCAGGGATTAGGAAGTTCTGTCCTAACTTTCCCCTCAGGACTGATGGAATATGTACCCTTGTTGTTCGAGGGTTCCTTTTGAACACTTGCTAGAAATGTGTTATTGCAATCAGAATTTCTGATTAATCAGTATTAATATTTATTGGGGAACATGATACAAGTGGCCGGTGCTGGACCCACAGCCATTCCCTGCTACAGAGAAGGCAAGACTGTTGTCTGGCTCATGGCAACAACTTCTACGTATTTTGCAGAGTAAATTGCTATTTGTGTTTAACACTTGGGCTCAATTTTCTTGCAGCGTTGCTGAGAGAGCCGGTGATTACTATTAAGCCATGTAACTATTAAGCCAGTTTGACTCTCTGATCCAACACAGTGCCTTGTCTATCCCAGGTTACTAAATGCCTGCTGACTGGACAGGATTTGCAAGAGAAACACTGCGACCTTCAGGTACAACAGGAAGCTGTCCCAAGAGGCAACTATGCAGCTGGGAAACAGGGCTGCAATTTTTCCACGACCTCAGTTGCCAGGTTCCCAGCATATAATCAGTGTTGGGAACTCCATTGAGCTGATGTTGGGTAGCTGTGTTGTCTGTCCTGTTTTTGTTGTAGGCAAATTGGGTCTGTGATAGAGACCTGAGTGATAGAGACCTTTCAGATGTGTTGTCCCTTCGGGGAATGTGGCTCCTAGGGGAATTGCTTTGCCCAACGAGGCAGGTGTGTGTTACCTTGTACCATGCCAGGTTTCATTTAGTTGGTTGGGTCACTGAAGCAGAGAGAGAGGTGCCCTTTAGCCGCCAAGATTCCTAAGAAAGCCGGGAAGTCGGAGCTGCTGAAGAAGCCCGAGGTTGGCAGGGAGTGCGGAGGGTAATCATTCCTGCCGGGCTAGGGATGTTTACCCTGCCACCCGAAGGCTGGTGGACACTGGGCGTGGTGGGCGTGCTTGCCCAACTACCTGTTTGTGGAACACTGCGACACCAGGGCAGAGCTAAAACAGCAGTAATCTGAAACCAGTCGTATTGGTTTTCCTTCTCTAGCCCAGCAGCTAAAATCTGCATTCCAGATGAAACCTGCCAGGAAACGGAAGAAAGCACTTTAACATTAAAAAACAAAAACAAAGAAAAAAACTTCAAGGGCGGTACATTAACCGCTTTTGAGTTCCAGGCATTTTGAGATCATCTACTTCTTCCTTCCTTTACTTTTATTTCTTTGCTTTGGGCTTTGTGAGTGGCTGTGGATCTGTGGGCTCTGCTAAGTTTTCTCTCGGCCTGGATGACACAGGCTTCTGACCACAATTTAGACGGCAAAGGAGGGCCCGGCCAGACGCGTTCCAGGCGTTTTCTGCTGATTCACTTTTGCATTTCTCGGGCTGCTGGGGCTGGCGGAGGGCTGTCAGGACCAGCCTGCCGGCTCAGCACTTTCTGCAGCCTCCCTCGCTCACCAATGAGGAAGTTGAGAGCAACCAGGAGAAGGACAGGCGCTGGGGCGGAGCTGTGCTGAGGTCCCGGGCTGGGATGACTGGGGCCGGCTGACTCTCCTTCCGACAAAAAGCCTTTTGTCCACGGGGATAAATACGGAAGTCCCCAAGGAGCAGCCACCCCGTCTGTGTGTAGTAGGGTGCGCAACCTCGCCGCTCGTGGGCACAGAGCTCCGCCGACTTTTTCCAGTTGCCCCGGGCGCCCCGTCGCCGCACCAACCGGAAGGAGAGCGCAGGGACTGACCTGAAACTGACCGAGGGAGCCTGCGGTGCGGCTGGGACTCTGGCGGCTCCCTGCCCCGTAAGTTAAGAGCTGATGGAGTGGATAAGCTGAGAGCAGGGCAAGGCGACAGGCGGCAGGACTTCCAGAGACGGCAGCGCTGGAGACATGGAGGACGTGGGCAGCGCTCTGAGCCGCAGCGAGGTCTCGGCAGCAGACAAGTCCGGCGCTGGCCCCGAAGTGGCTCAGTCCCTCCTGAGCAAGTTCTCTGTGAAGTCCCTGTTTGGGTTGACGAGTAAACTGGAATCCGGGAGGCCTGACGAGGAAGATGTGGTGCTGCAGGCATTCCACAGTTTAGTGGTGGATCCCACGCCCCCGCTGGACGGTCCCAGCAGTGGCTCAGGGCAGCAGGAGGCAGAGGCTCAGGTTGCGCCCGACCTGGGAAGGGATGGGAAGACTCCAAGGGAGGAGACAGAGACAGAGCCAGAGGGAAGTCAGAGAGAGGCAGGGATTTCTCGCCCTGCCCAAGAGCTTCTTCCACTCGCTGCTTTGAGTGGGAGCAGGGACGATGTCATTTTGGTTCGTGGGACCCTGGTGACCACCACCAGTGATTCTGACTCTGATGATGGTGGCCAGGAGCCAGAAGAGGGAAGCAACACCAATGGCCCCAAGTCCCCGAGTGCTGTTTTATCTGAGCCATCTGTGGAGCCCCAGGAAAAGCCAGGAGATTGTAGGGGAAATACTGCCACGGGGGAAAGGGATGATACAGAGCCTGGCGCACCTGGGAGATGTGGCAAACCGGAACCTGGCGACGGTGGTCTTCTGGCAGAGCACAGCCCCAGCCAAGGACACACTGGAGAAGAAGGTTCCCAGGTTCCTCCTGTGGTAACAGACCAGAAATTGAGTGTCACCGAGAACACCTCTTCGAAAAGAGAAGCCCCTGGAGAGAAGTCATTCCAGCTTCCCGCTTTTTTTAGTGGGCTTCGTGTGCTGAAGAAGGGGGCTCCAGCAGAGGGAGGGGAGACCATCACTGAAATTAAACCCAAGGATGGGGACCTGGCTTTGCTCAAATTGACCCAGCCCGTTCAGAAGTCCCTAGCACAGGCAGGGCCGCAGACGGTGAAGACTGGGGAGAAAACAAGTGATCTGAAGGCCACTCCCACTCTCCTGGAGCAGCTCTCCCAGCTGCTCAGCATTGACATGCCCAGAGCCGAACTGAAGGCAGAAGACCCTGAGCCACCCAGGGGGGAAGAGATGGGCTGCAGCACTGCGCAGGGGAGCCAGAGTGGCCCCGAAGAAGCCCAGACCCAGAGTGGAGAGGTCAAGCCAAAGCCTCCAGAAAGTGCCCTGGAGGCCTTTAAAGCCTTATTCATCCGTCCCCCCAAAAAGGGGACCACCGCGGACACCTCTGAGCTGGAAGCTCTCAAGCGCAAGATGAGGCACGAGAAGGAGTCCCTGAGGGCGGTGTTTGAACGGGCCAAGCCAAGGCCAGCGGATGGCCCCTCTGATTCCAAAAGCGTATGTAGAATTGCGTTTTCCATTTTGTCATGAAATGTGATGTCGCTGTATTCCTTTCGAGGGTTCCTGTCAAAGTGAATCCCCGTCGCCTATGGTTAGTGACTGTCTTTTAGGTGAAACATGATGATGATGAAATTGTCCTTTAAGGTATGGAGTCGGACAGAAGTGTTTTCTTTCTTCCTTACATGTTTATGGATTGTTATAAGAGAGAGATGTGGAAATATGTGCTGGTGGGAAAGGGAAGCTGTCACTCCGAGATTAAACATTAGGAGCAAATGTTCCTATAAAAGTAAGCAGCACGGGGATGTGCTGCAATATGGAAACATAGCCCAGATGTCCTTGCCACTTAACTATATACCTCGGTGAAAAGTGTTTTTCCTTCATATGTCTGCCATTCGGCGGAATACTTGTTTGTGATGTAATTGAAACGTTCTGTGTTGGTTACAAGGCATCCTGATTGAACACTGGATTTAAAATGAGACCTGGATTTTCATTCTAACAATGCCATGTACTGTCTGGGTGGCCTCGATCATCTCTGAGCCTCAACCTCCTCAGGAGGGACAAAGGAGAAAAAGTAATAACCCTCATCTTATATGGTGGTTGTGAAGATTAATGAAGTTAGCATATGGTAACTGTCTAATTAATAAAAAAACTGTTATTCAAAGAAATTTAATTTGGTAATTTATTAAGACTACCTGTGCAGGAGATCTTAGAGATTCATAAGGACAACACATAGAATTTCTTGGTTCATATCAACTCAGAATACAATTATTTCGTCTTATATATTTGGCCAGTTAAAATGTTAAAAATTAAGTCTTTGGAAGAATTATATTGAGTTGTGGTTAAAAACTAAACACGGTAAAACACTCGCATAGGTATAAAAATCAACTGATAAAAATAGCTTGAATATGAAGGCCATTTCACTATTATTATTTTTTTTAATAGGAAAGAAAAATTGAAATAGCACTGTGGAGTGTAGAGAGGTGTACCTTGGCCTACAGCTAATGTTCATGGAAAATGCAAAAGTAGTCATTATGTCATAAATAACCCTGGAGTTGTTTGGGATACACTTGTAAACATTCCTGATCCTAGTATATTTGTATATATACGTTCAGCTCAAAGTATATCTGTAATTTAAAAAAAATAATTACATGATAAAAATCATCTGTCAAGAGTTGTGTAATTCTTGGCCTTGAGGTGTTTTTGTTTTTGTTTTTTTTAATTGAAATATAATCAACATAAGACATTATATTAGTTTCAGGTGTACAGCATAATTCGACATTTATATGTATTGCAAAACAATTAGCACAGTAAGGCTCTTTACCCTCTATCCCCATACAGAGTTACAAATTTCTTGTGATGAGAACACCTAAAATTTACTTTCTTAATAGCTTTCAAATTGAAAATACATTATTATTGACAATAGTTACCATGCTCTACATTAATTACATCCCCATAGCCTTGAGTTGTTTTTTAATTTTTACTCCCACTGATCACTTTATATTTCTGGGAAAGGATCATTGAGCACAATTGCAAATGACCATTAATATTAATTTTATTAACGTTAGAGTTAGTATGTTTGTTTTGGGGAATACTTGGCTTTGGCCATATTTCATTTAACTTCTTTTTTTTTTTTTTTTCTTGCCCACTTTTTAATCAGCTTGACCACAGCCCCACTGAGCAGGACGATAGGACCCCTGGCAGACTCCAAGCTGTGTGGCCACCCCCAAAGACAAAGGACACAGAAGAAAAAGTGGGATTGAAGTACACTGAAGCAGGTAATGTGAAAACAGGCCGGGGACCCAGGAGTGCATCTCGTCCTGCAGTAGCTTTCAGTTCTAATTCAGGAGGCTCTCAGAATCTGCGTTTTTGTTTTGTTATAAAATGTCCTGCTGCAGGCTTTTCTTTTCGGTTGTGCCTTTAAAGTGAACGCTCGCATACTTATCTTTAATGAATCTTTTAAAGCTGAAAGGTGAATGCAGTGGAATGAATGAAGGGGGGCATGTGTGTGAAGTAGGAGACCCTTTGGGGAACTAATGGAGAAGGTAGATTACAAATTCCTCAGGAAGCAGGTGGTTGGCCCTCTCTAATGTGTGAGCTGGCAGGGCTGCTGAAAGAGGCAGAGTATGATTCTCCAGAGCTGTAATCTGATTTGCTGTTTGTCTGTGAGTAATGCTTTTGAGCTACAGGAACTTTGTGCAGAGTGAATGTACAGATACCATATCAGTTACTCTTTTACTTTTGTTAGACAAAAGCTTTCTTTAATGCATGGCCATTTGCAAAGGAACCAAACCCCCTGGAAACCTTCCCAGGGGCTTTGCTTGAATATATTTAAAGGAGTGGGAATGGAGATATTTTTACTCTGTACGTGAAAGGTTCACAGGAGACTTTAAAAAGAAATGAAGAGAGGATAGTAAATCGTAATTGTGTAAGTGTGCGTCTGTAGGTGTCTCTAATGAAACCTCTGTCATCCTGATATTTGAAGATGATCTGTGCAGGTTTACATTTTGCTGGTTGTCTTAGGTATGTGTGCAGGTTAAGGTTGGTCTGTCTGGTTATGGAAAAGTACTTCTTTCAGTTCTTATCATGGGTAGACACACGTGGGTCAAAGTTGAGGTGCTTTAGTAATGCACGGGTTTTCTGCAGTATTGCCAACTTTCTTCAGTGATTTGAGAACACCGGTGGATCTCACTCTACAACCTGATTGCTTTGAGCCCCCAGTCACACAATTGCAGACTTCTGACCACGCCAAGACGTCCGCCACTTCACGCGTCTTTCCCTGCAGTGCTCGAAAGTATATATATGCATGCCTGTTCCAGTTTTCTAGTGTGCGTTTGGTTTTTCCAAAATTGGAATGCTTTACATCACAATATGGAAGCACATACCAAATTATTTTCCTCACGATCTGGCACAGTTTGAACAATTGAAACATCTTGAATTTTGCTTTTAATGAAAATCCAGAATCCTATGAGTTCTTACTCCTAGTTTGTATTGGTGATGTTAGTCCCGTCCCTACCAGTGTACCGTGGGACTCCTCCTTGCAACCAGCACTTGCTGAGTAGAGAAGGAAACAAATGTCAGTGTTTGGGGGGTGTTTATACTTCTACAGGGGTTCCTTCAGTCCTTTTTCATTTCTGAAGCTCTGAGGAGCACCATCATTTACCTCATCCGTGGCCTTCCCAGTCTTTTTTTTTTTTTTTTTTTTTAATATAATGAAATGTGTTTTCAGAGATCTCTAAGGTTTTGGGTGAGATGGGGAAAAGAGGAAGGAAGGGGCGAATAAAGATCGTTCTCCTAGGTGGGTCCTGTGGCATGTTGACAACATGCGACAGAGAGAGGGTGACTGTTTGGAGAAGGCGGGCGTCTAGGATCCCTGCTGGTTCCCGTGCATGGCTGTGCCATGGCTGTACTATGTGCTCCCAGATCTGGTGCTCAGGTTCCTGAGAGCCTTGTAGGTGCTCCTTGCTCCGTGGATACACTTTGGGGGGTATCAAAGAAGGACAAGGTATCCCACGCCTGCAGGAAACTTGTTTGTTACCCATTACTCAATGTTAGCATGGTGCCTTGTCATTTATTATTAATCTTGAAGTTAACATTTTCCTTGTTATTGTCTCTGTTGTTGAGAAAACAGGAGTCTTATCAGCATCTGGTTTATAACCACACATTCTGTGGTGGTGTCCTTGGTTTCCCTGACCTTAGGAAAGCACACCAAATCTGCCACCCTGTAGGAATCACAGAGACGGAAAAGTTCGATCCAAAGTATTTCCAGGTATTTGAAGTCTTATGCTTTCATGCCTTTGGTGCTTTCTTTTTTCCTAGGGTGTATTATTCATTAAATTAGTGAAAACAGAAGGCCAAGGCTCTGGCATTTGTATTTCAGTTGTGCGATAGCAACTGTGAGCCGCTGACACCAAAGCCTAGTTCTCGGCAGAGACGGCACCGAGATGATGTTTTCCATCGTGAGCCTCACACTGTCCTTGCGCCGCCCTCGGCCACGTCGGACTCGCCACTGCTTGGCTTTCCCTCTAGTCAGAGTTTATCGCCCCATGATCTTTTTTTCTGAGGGCTTAAGATAACACCTAATACTGTAAACTCACTTTTGTTCAAGGACAAAAAGGAAAAGAGAGCTGATATCAGAGAAGCTTAAACCACTGCTTCTTGAATCCTCTTAGCCACTAGCTAGCCACTGTTGCTGGTGCCCACTGCCCAGGGTGCTCTCTCTTGACAGTTCCAAAGCCACCGGTATGATCGGTAGCTGCCAACCAGGACTACCTTGGCAGCTAAGGCCTTTGGCTCCCATTAGAGCCTCTGATGCCATTTTGATGACATGGTGCCCACCATCAAGGGCAGTTCTGCTGCCAATCTCTGAGCTCTTGGAGCCTTGGTGATGTGCCAGTTGAGAGAAGCACCTGAACCTCCAGAGATGTCACCTGGGAGTTGACCTCCACTACTCAGGGAGGGCCCCAGTGTTAACTCCCTGTAGTCCTGAATTGCTCTGCTCAGACGAGAGAGAATCACTTTCTCCTGTCTCCTGTGCTGTGGTTTCTGCCATTATTATCAATTCTGCCGATGTTTGGAATGCCTCGCTGCAACCTTGAGTGAAAAGAAGAGAATTTTTCCACTTTTCCTTGGAATTGGGCTAGAGACCACCTGATTGACAGACCTCATGTTTGTCTCAGAATTGTCTCCCCCTCCCCCAAGGACAGGAGCTGGCTATGGAAACAAGCTTGTGGGATGGTCTTGCTTTTTCAGGAGCTATTTTATTAGTGAACTCCTCACCTCCTTACCCGATTAATCCACGCATGGTGAGTCCTTGCCACTTTCCTGCGGAGCAGACTGGAAAGATCCGGCGGCTGTGAACTTCATTAGCTTGTGAAGCTCGGGGCTAAGGAAAATCCAATCATAACAAAATAAAAAGGTGTTCTTTGATGCAATTCAAGGGGAGCCCGAGAGAAAAACGTCTACCTTTAAATGTGTGGCAAAAGCAATTTGTCTCATGAGAAGGAGATAACCAGCATTCTGTCCCTTTTTCGATACACTGTCCTGTGTGTGCTGAGGTTATATGAGGGTCAGTAACTTGCTCCAAGTCTTTAAAAACAACAAACCAGAAAGCATAGGCTGCCCTGGGTATCAGATAATCACTGAGTCACAGAGTTAACATAGGGCTGAACTTTTTATCTCAAACTTGAATGAAGACAATTTTAACCACCTTAGGTCACTTTCCTTTTTGTAAGGTATAAATGCATTTAGCTGTATTTTCTTTAAATGGCATGTATTACTGTATCAAGCAGGGTTCTCTTGGGAATCGGGTGACACTCAAATTGGGTGACTGGACTGAGAGTTTATTAGAGGCTATTTACAAAGGTGTGGGCGGGGTTTAGGAAAAGCAGTAAGAGATGAAGCAGAGGTCTGGGCCAGGTAAGAGATGTTTATGCAGCCCTAGACCTGAAGGGGCAAGGGTCGGAGAAGCTATGGGAAACCCAGAACTTCAGAGTAGCATGGAGAGCACGGCCCAACCAGAGCCCGGCAGGGGGAGGGTCTTCAGTGGAGGAGTCCAGTGACATCCTGAGGAGGGAGTAGGGGTAACGTACCCTGACCCTGTTCCGCTCTGTGGTCTCCCACCAATCGTCCACTGTCCTGCGTGGAGAAGGATTGGCAAATGCATTACCCCTCACCACACAGGGCTCCATACAGTGGCATGAAGAGAAACTTACTGTTTTATCATCCTGTGGAAGCCTTATGTTTTCTACGCCAGTCGATTCATAGAAAGTATAATGGCCATAGTACAGTCTTGCCCTGCGGATATCTACCTCTCCTTAATGTAGAGGCCTTGTTTGCTGATCTCAGAAAACCTTCGTCTTCCATAAGTTTTAAATGTTTTTTGAATATTGCAAAGTAATATTTTGGAAATATCCTGAAATATCAGAAAGCAAAAGAAACTTTCTGTTATCCTGTTGCCTAGAGAGACTCTGGCCAACATTTTGTGTTATTAGAGGCCAATGAGAATTAAGACTTAAAATTTTGTTTAACCACATTCTGCAAATTGGTTTTTCTTTGCATGAAAATTTGACTACTTTTGAATGACTTTTGCTACATTTTAACAATGGTTATATTTATAGGATTTTTTTCCAGTTAATTTAAGTAATATAATAATGGAAATGATAATGCTATAAATATTCTTGCTAATGTTTTTGTCTTTAATTATATTAGGATAAATCCCTCGTAGTGGAATTGCTGAATATAAGGATATATGACTTTTTAAGCTTTTGGTGCATATCAATAGCCCAAATTGTGTTTTTCATACTATCTTTAGATAAAATTTAATATTTTAGAATACTGAAAATATTTTTTCCTCTTTATTATTTGCTTTTGATTTTACTTGTAATTTCTAGGGTACATACATTTTCAAAATTTATGTAGTCATATCTATCCTCATATTATTGTATAACTTTTCTTTTGGCTTCAAAAGACTTCCTACATTCAAAGATCATCTATATCTTCAAATTTCTTGAATTATTTCTTTCTGCCTCTTTTCTTCTAGCCTTCCTTCCATTTCATATCAAAAACTAATTTTGCTGTATAGCCTGAGATAGAGATCTAAGACAACTTCTTTTTTTCTAAGTTAATTTTACAGCAGGCGTCTGGAATAATGATCCCCCTGTGCGCTAGGTTTAGGATTGTCCTGGACTTTGTTCTCTTTGATGTGTTTTCAGTTTTGTACCAGCATATTAATTATTGCAACATGATAATGCATCTCGGAATTTGTGCAAGTTGTCAT